TTTTTAAGGGGTGTTTGAAGACACTCTTGGTGAAAACGTGGTTTATGGTTAATAGACATGAAAAGAAGTTCAAATGGCTATTGAAAGAAGGCAACTCTTGGAGGATTCATTGAATGTGGACACATTTTGAAGAGACACCAAAACACCTTTTAGAAAATTATAAAAGAAAACTGGGATTGAATGAAGAGGGAGTCTCAATTAGCTGTCAACGCCCCTCTCTCATAGCTTAATTAAAATACTTTTAAAGAGAAGAAATGGAGGAGATGTTGTTTGTTAGTAGAGTGTATTGTAAGAAAAAGGAAGAGAAGAGATTCAAAGAAACTTCAAGAGTTTGGTGGAGAGGAATTTGAGATATTTTTTTATCTTTGTGACTACATTTGGTTTTAATTTAGACTTCTTATATGTTTACATGATTTCAACTTTTAAACTTAAGTGTGGTTGTGTTTTATCCATGAATTTTGAGTAGTTTTTCTTATTTATTTCCTTAAAATGATAAGTAATTAAATTTTGGAAGAAATATGTGTGAAGTATTGGTCTTTAATGTTGGAATAAATTGTGAAGATTTTAAACTTTGTACTTCATTTACTTCTTGATTTGGCTAATTAAGATGTTAATATCTTTTGTGAGAACATGTAAGATCTGAGATGGTATTGTCTCAATCAACTAATGGTAAGAATCACATGAGATTATATGGATGAAAATGGAGTTCATATGGTTGAGTGCAAATAAATAGGGAAATAAACTTTGAAAGGTGTAGAGTTAGAGGACTTTGGAGTGACAAGTTAAAGGCCCCTATTCAATTTAGTGTTTTAGGTATTGTTACGAGATATTAGCACTCAGGTGGAGGGAGAAGAGGGAACTCTAGAGTGAGAGCTAGTATCTTCCTTACCTAACCCTACTTCAAGGTTCTTAAGACTTTAAATTAGCCAATGTTCTTTATAGCATCTCTAATAAGGGTAAAGAATAATATTGCTCATATTTGGCACAACACAATTTAAATACTTTTACAACATAATTTCTATACTTGTTACTGATTCATAATAAAGAAAAAGATATTTTATTTATATTGTCATCATCTTACAAATATCTTGTTAAATTTTATTAGTTGTTTACTTTATTTTCAATTATAAAAAATTACAAAAAAAATCGAACTTTCATTTCTTTTTTAACATATATAATTTGAGTAAGAATATTTTGTAAAGTTGAATTTGTTATCTAATTTCTTCTGACTTAAAAGATTGTATTTCTCCATGTGGAGTTCGATATTCAAGGCTTAATCAAAATATCGTATATTACTTGATAACGATACATATGTTTTCATAGTATCACAATATTTAAATATAATAATTGCACTCTTATTTGCTTCAGAGTCAAGTTTTTGGCATTGTTGTAAAGTAAGAAATATAACTGCATACTTCGTAGTATTGTCATAAAAGATCGGGATCAACGATCGAACCTAAATGTCTAGTTTTTTTTATTGAAATTTGGTTGTTGATCAAAATAAAGTGAGTGATTTCTTTGATCGGGCCTTGGTGGTCGATTGAATTGAACTGATCACATGATCAATGCAACATGTATAGAGTGCTACTTGAGACGTGTCATGCAAGACATGTAAGTAATGCAATAACACATGCAAAACATATGACATGCAAGTGAAGTTGTCTCATTAACCCTCTAGGTTAAACAAGACAGTCGATCGGGTGATATGACCAAGAGGGGTCGGTTGGGTTAGAGTGACCGACCAAACCAAAGTGATGCGTTGATCAAAACTTGGTGTTCGATCGAGACGGGGCAGTTGATCGAGCTAAGGTGGGTGGTTGATCGGACCTTGGTGGCTGATCAAACCTAATTGATCGGTCGATCGGGACGAAGTTGTTGATAAAATTGAAGTGGGAGGTTAATCAAACATTGGTGACCAATCGAACCTAATTGATCAATCAACTGAACTGGGGCGGTCGATCAAACCGAAGCGGGTGGTTGATCGGACCTTGGTGACTGATCAAACCTAATGTTATCGGTTGATCGGGCCTTGCTGACTATGATTGATCAAACCAAAATAATCACATAATTGAAGTGGCATGTCTAAGGTGCTACATGCAACACATCATGTAGGGCATACAAGTAAATGCAAAATGCTTAATAACCAATTAAACTCGTCATAGCGTTCTAACATAGAATCTAAAATTTGATGAAGTCGTAGTTGCAGTCCATTACACAACATAACATATGACCTACCTCTAATTATCCGAAAAACCCAAAGTCAATTTCCACGAAGAGAAAACCTTTATGAAAAATGAAGGTTTTTCTTCATGGATGCGGCCTTCATGGTCTTGGGAATGAGAACCAAAGAGTTTTCTCGTTCTCTAGCTCGAGGTGGCTTCAACCCATTCATCAAGTGTTGAAGCTAACAAATAAATAACCACAGGATTGCTAGGTTCTCGACCAATTGGGCTTTTGGTGCTAGAACTTAAAAGGAGAGGTCAAGATTCGTAGGGATTTGCAATAAAACGGTCCTAACCTAAGGGGTTTTTCTCTAACACACAACCAAGGTCCTTAAATCTCTATCATCTAGACATAATGGGCCATAGGGAAGGAAAATGCAAGAAATTTTAGTGATTTTCACCTTCGCAATATTTGGAGATGTGATCTCTTTGCTTGCTCCTTACTCCTACCTCATTTGGATGAAGCTTTCCTCTTCTAGAGGAGATTTGAATCTTTTATTTTTCCAAGTGGAATGAAGCTTTCCTTTACCAAAAGGAGAAGTGTGGCTCTTTCCTCCAAAAACTTCTTCGAAGGCCTCCCTCACACTTTTCTCAAGAGGTTAATGGAGGAGGAAGAAATAGAAAAATGAGGAAGAAGGTGTTTCTCTCTTTTTCCAGAGCTCTCCCAACTTCTCATACAAGCCTCTCCAATTCAGAAAACTGAGAAAATCCTTTATTTCTTTGCTATCGTTGAGACAAAAGTCTCTCTTCCCGCATCTAGACTCTGGCTGATTGCTTTGTTGAGCAAAACCTAGATATTTGATCTTCTTGCAAGTAAATGGCTAATCTCCCGCTAATGCTTTTTTATCCCTTCCATAAGTTGCTTTGGGACTTGCAAAAATTTCCATTAATGGTCCCATCCCTCTCAGCTGATGTGTGACACAATAACATTTGATGGAAAGAAATGGCAAATAATATCAAGCGCATATGTGCCAAACATCAAGTGCATATGCGCCCTTCCATCTATTTTGCACATTTTATTTGGGAGTTTAAGTGGCAATGGGGGGCTTGATTTGGCTCCTGCTGGCAGCACATACCCTACTTGCTGTAAGCACCACTTTTGGGCATTTCTGCGTCCATGAGGTGGTACTTAGGTGACACCCGTTAAAAAAAGAAATTATTTTTTCTATTTTTTGACCTTTTCTTTCCTTCTTTTTCGCGGCTTGTTTGGAGGATTCTCATGGGTCCTTGAACCGCCAGAAGACATTTAGGAATTAAAATGTACTTTCTTACATCGTGGCGGACACCAGGGTACTCTCTATTGGGCAAAAATCACCCCAAGGCTATGTACGACCCCAAGGGTCTATCCGTAGAAATGTTTTTACTAATCTGAAAGCTATAGAAAATTATGTATCTCTAAAATACAACCCTGTAACTCAAAAATTAATATTATGGAGGTTTTAATTTAGGGATTTTAGCACCTACAAACATCATAGACCCGCTCGCGAGTGAATTGGTTTGAACCCAAATTTTCCCAAAAATGAGTGTGGGAGATTTTGATGACTACCCTTGACCACGGGAGGCTCCAAATAGGTGGAGTATGATATCTAAACACTGGAATGGATGTTAAATGTATCCCGTTTCATAATTAACATTGCCCCAAGGTGAATTCGCCCGGGTTGAGCTTTATCACTACCAATTCTGATTCTGTGCTCGAGGCTCATACCAAGAAGTCCTATTCTATGTATTGGTCTACGAGTTCAGTCCTATATTATTTAAGTGGATATCCCTCACATGTGCATCAAAAACTGATGTTAACATGCATATTTATAGGGCTCCATGATTACATTGTTATAGAAAATTGCATACTTAACATATGTCCTGAGGAAAGTGCTTTTGTTTTCCAACCTGATCAGACCAACATATATTTTATTATCTTATTGTGATGTAGATTATTTGAGTATTTCACAGTCAAACGCATTATAAGTTCATTGTGGTATGGCTTTGCTTTGTCATTAAGTCGTTCGTCTTCTCTTCTTTTCTTAGAGGCATCCCTGTCATACTCTTTGTTTTGTGTAAGCGCTATTTCTACCTTTTATTACCTTTAGACTCTAATGTTGGCCTCTACAACTTAAGTTTTTTTTCTAAACTCTTTCTTTAGTTTTATCCACAAGAAAATATAATCAGCGAAAAACATATATCTCTGTACATCCTTCTATAAATGTCTCAAAGAGTATCCATAACTAAAGCAAGAAGATATGGGCTTACAGTAGCTGATCCCTGATGTAATCCAACTGACTAAGAAAATACTTGGTCAATACTTCAACTGTTCGAACACAAGTAACAACTATAATATACAAATATTTAATGACTAAAATATAAATCATGTCGACACATTTCTTCTCTATAACTATCACAAAAAATCCTCTTGAAACTTTATCCAAAGCGTTTTCTAAATTAATAAAATTCATGTCTATCATCCTTATCTTCTCTGTACTTCTTGATCAAGCCTCTCAACTAATAGACTTGTCCGACATGAATCCAAAATAATTATGAGAATCAAACTAATTATGAGAAATTTTTGCATTACATCTTAACCTATGTTGAATTACGCTATCACATAAGTTTATCAAATAACTTTATATAATTTATTATTACATTATAAATGAATATGAAAATTTAAATATACAATTTTTTTTTTTTTAATTCCAAAATTAATTTGATGGCTGGTTAGAAGAATATTGTGTAGGGTGTTGAAGTTGGCACCAAATCGACCAATAACATAATTGCATTCCCTCCCCGTCCGCCGCCTATAAAACTCCTCCATTCCCACGCCATGGTATCCTTCTCTAACATCTCACTACATCATCCTTCCCCCGCTCCGCATTTTTCCGCCGCAATGGACTCCGTCGACACATGGGGTCTTGCGCCTCTCTCCTCTGTCGATCCAGAGATCCACGACCTCATCGAAAAGGAGAAGCGCCGGCAGTGCCGCGGGATCGAGCTCATTGCCTCCGAAAACTTCACTTCCTTCGCCGTCATTGAAGCCCTTGGCAGCGCGCTCACCAACAAATATTCCGAGGGCATGCCCGGCAACCGCTACTATGGCGGCAACGAATTCATTGACGAGATTGAGAACCTTTGCCGATCCCGCGCTCTCGAAGCCTTCCATCTTGATCCCGAGAAGTGGGGCGTCAACGTCCAGCCTTATTCTGGCAGCCCGGCTAATTTCGCCGCTTACACCGCGGTCCTTAACCCCCATGATAGAATCATGGGCCTCGATCTGCCCTCAGGCGGCCACCTCACTCATGGATACTACACAGCCGGTGGGAAGAAGATCTCTGCCACTTCGATCTACTTTGAGAGCTTGCCGTATAAGGTGAATTCCTCGACGGGGTACTTGGATTATGAGAAACTCGAGGAAAAAGCCTTGGATTTCCGCCCTAAGCTCATAATTTGTGGCGGGAGTGCGTACCCGAGGGATTGGGATTATGGGCGGTTCAGATCCATTGCTGATAAGGTCGGTGCGCTGCTGCTTTGCGACATGGCTCACATCAGTGGCCTTGTTGCTGCGCAGGTACGGTTTGTCTCTTCAATTCAGCTGTAGTGCCGTTTTTCTTGTATTGTTTCTCATATCGCTTTTCTTAGCTTATTTGTTTGGATTGGGATATGTGAAGCTGCTTGGATCTTGGCGTGTGAGCTTACTAAACTTATGATTTATGAGTTTTTTAAAGGGATTAGGAAGTATGTGATTTGGATTTGAGTTAAGGTGATGAGAAAATTGGCTCTCTCTCTAGTTTGCTCTAATTTGGTTTCTTCGCTTCGAACTAAAGTAGGTCTAGCTATTATAACCTTTAGAAAAAGAAAAGGAAAAAAAAAATGGAAGTTTTGGTTGGTCTCTATGTAATTTCCCTTGCCCCCTTTTTTTTATTATGACTTCTAAGTTGAACAATATTGGATCTTGGAATTTATTCTTATTTCCGTTTTACTTCATGTGCGCTGAAAGTTTTCTTGAGCATGTGATTTTACAATTCGTCTGTTCCATTTTACTGAACTTCATCCTTATTCAAGATCAAAAGCGGGTTATAGATTCAAGAAGGGTAGTGCATGCTGGTTTCAGTCAGACAATGCAAAAGTTGAATTGAAATTGAGTCATATAGATCATGCAATTTTGGAATCTCAGTTGACTAAACCTCCATTTGCCATCTTTAATACAGGAAGCTAATGATCCATTTGAGCACTGTGATATCGTCACAACCACAACACACAAGAGCCTCAGAGGCCCAAGAGCTGGCATGATCTTCTACAGGAAGGGCCCGAAGCCACCGAAGAAGGGACAGCCAGAGAATGCAATTTATGAATTTGAAGACAAAATTAACTTTGCAGTTTTTCCTTCCCTTCAAGGAGGTCCTCACAATCACCAGATAGCCGCATTAGCTGTCGCACTGAAACAGGCCTCATCGCCGGGATTCAAGGCATATGCCAAGCAGGTTAAGGCAAATGCTGCCGCCCTCGGAAAGTATTTGATAAAGAAGGGATACAATATTGTTACCAATGGGACAGAGAATCACCTTGTCCTTTGGGATCTTCGTCCTCTTGGCTTGACTGGTAAAATTAGCTGCTCATGTTTTTCACAGATTGATCAGTTAGGTGCTTTATATGCTAATTTCTGTTTGAATTTTCTTTCATTTTTGCTCCTTGCTTGTTTATAGGGAACAAGGTGGAGAAGGTTTGTGATCTCTGCAACATAACACTCAACAAAAATGCTGTTTTTGGTGACAGCAGTGCTTTGGCTCCTGGTGGCGTCCGTATAGGTATTTAAGTTATATTTGTATGGGTTTTCCTTATTTTTATGAATTATTTTGTGCTTTGTTTTGTCATGATACTCAGGAAACATAGAATTTAACTATCAAAAGTAATTAAAAAAAGGTTATTTGTTTTCAATTATGTGCTGCTGTATGGTTTTCTTGCTGTAAAATATCCAGCTATTGTAAGGTCCAAATATCCAGCTTTTGTAAGGCCCATGGGAATGCTTTCTACCAGTGATTATTTAAGAAAGGAGCATTTGCGTAAATACCACACAATTCCATGGGAATGCTTTCTACCAGTGATTATTTAAGAAAATAGAGTTTACATAAATACCACACAATAGTTTTGCATTTACACATCTCTTACCTAAACTTGCATATTTACATACATAACACTTATATATAATATCACATCAAAATTCCACCACAGCTAACTTCTTACAAGTGAAGTACACGGTTTTATTCATGGCTTCATGACACCAAAATGTTATAAATGTAAATATTAAACTTTTAGTGTTAGATATGTAAATACAAAGAATTTGTGTGGGTATGTATGTAAATTTTCCTTTAGCAAATCATTCTAGATTGTTTAGGCTTAGACTATAGCTCATCTGAATGTTAACAACAATTAAAATCATGTTTCTTTAATGTATTCATTGTGTTTTTTACAATCATCACCTATGACATTTCACAGGTGCTCCTGCCATGACCTCTAGAGGATTGGTCGAGAAGGATTTTGAGCAAATTGCAGAGTTTCTCCACCAAGCAGTAACCGTTACCCTGAGCATCCAGAAGGAACACGGTAAGCTCCTGAAGGACTTTAATAAGGGTTTAGCGAACAATGAGGACATTGAGAACCTCAAGGCTGCTGTAGAGAAGTTTTCCGCTTCATTTGACATGCCCGGCTTTCAGACTTCTGAAATGAAATACAAGGACTAGACTCGTACGTCTCACCGAATATTACATCTTCCTTTGTATTTCTGAGTTTTCTGTCTCTTTATGGATTTGTTTTTCATCTTTTTTTTTTGGCTATCTAATTATTTGAACTTGTTTTTGTTTGAGTTATAATGTTAGAATTTCCGGAAATAAGGATTCATGATTTGTAAACGGTTTCTTTTGTGGATTGCTTATGAGAACTTTTATGACAATTACATAAATGATTGTAATTTTTTTCAGTTTATGTGATTCTCATGATCGATAGAAAGCTTGAGTGAAATGATTAATTGCAATTAATAGAACTACCTGGGTCTGTAAATAGGAAAAAATTTGCGTGCGATAGACGTACGCAGCGCTGCGTACGATATTGGTGTTATACCGAGGGTACAAGGGGGTTACATCCGCGGTATAACCTCTTGTAACCTCCCTGTAACCGTCTGTAACCTACATGTAACTTGAAATAAGTTTCGCGCTTTTGTTATCATATATTAAGAATTTATTAGTAGGTTACAGGTAGGTTACAGAAGATTACAGGAAGGTTACAAGAGGTTATACCGCAGATGTAACCCCCTTGTACCCTCGGTATAACCTCAATATCGTACGCAGCGTTACGTACGTCTATCGTACGCAATTCTGAAGTTCTGAATGAAATATAGGTGAGGAGGCTGAATGCATATCAGAGCATGAAAACCATGAATTATATTCATCCTGAGATAAATCCATATTTAAAAATGTTCTCATCATCATTTTTTTTCATAATATTTGGCTTTTTTATTTCTAATATTCGAAAATAATTACTGTGTTAATGTTTATTTTAATATGTTCTTGATTATAACAATTTTATATTGTACAATAACTTATTCATCTTTATGTTATACGGTGCTTAATAGTTCATTAGATTCAATGTGAATTTCATTGCAATATTAAATTCTCAAGGTATGATTCAACAAGTTTCTTAAATTAATTTTTGAGACTAAATGAACTTCAATTTTTATGTGATTGCGATCAAAATGATCTTTTTTATCAAAAGATGATTTAAATGCAATGAGAAAGTTAAGATCTAAGTCCATGTGAGCTTATGCAATTCAAGAGAATCTAATCATAAGAAGTTGGCTTACCTCCCAATGCATTTTTTTTTCATATTATAATTTAATTCTTCAATTAATATAAAGCAAGTAAAAATCAAGTATGAACATCAAAAATTTTAAACAAACAAAGTATGAACATATATGTGAAAGCTTGCCTCAAGCTCGAATTGAATATAATTAACTTATGATTTCACCAAGCCAAGTCCAAACCATGATATACTCAACTTGAATCAGATTAATTACAACCCTATGTTTGATATGATTTGTTTATTTTTTTCCAACAAGTTGCTTGTATAAAGTCTGAGTAAGCTTTGTTTATGACTCATTTATTTTGTTAAATGAGTTGTTTGTTAATAAACTTAATAATCTTTATTTTAACCGAGTTCGAGTCGAGCTCAAATAGGATATTTATAGATGAACTTGATCTCGAACATAGACTTAAAAGCTCAAATGAAGCTCAAGCTAAGCTCGAACAAACTTTTCACAATAGATTTTGTATATGAATAATTGGATATCATGAGCTAGTAAATAATGATTATTTTAATCCACTATAAAAATTTAAAAATCATTTGAATTAGTTTGATCACTAAAATCTATTTTCTAAGTAAAATGGTATTTTTACATTAAAATACTTATAATAAATTAACTATAAGTAGAAAAATTTTCTAAGTAAAATGGTATTTTTGCATTAAAATACTTATAAATAAATTAACTATAGGTAGAAAAACTACACGTAGAAAAACTATGAAAAGTGGTTTTCTGAGTTTCTTGTGATCATGGACACTTAGGGAAAAATATATATATATTAAAATAATTAGTTCATTTTTGAGTTACTTTTTGAATTAAAAAAAATTAAAGATAATCAAAATTTTCAAAAATATGAAAATAACCAAAATTGTTCCTAATTGTTCCCTGCTCACTTAGGACCCCTTAAGATATTTTTCTTAATTTTTGTGATTGGGTTATGTATTTTTAAATGCCAAAAATATATTTTTTCTTAATTTTTCTTTTAAAATAATTATAATAAATAAAATAAGAGTCATAAAAATAAAAAGTTTATTTCTCTGGGTTCTCTGAACTTACGAAAATTTAAGAAAAATATAAAAAGAGATTTTTGAAATTAAAACATATTTTTTATTTAATTAATCACTAAAATCAATAAACAATTTTAATAAGTAAAATATAATTTGAAAAATTATGAAATTTTGTCCAAGTGGTCTTCTGACCTAGGTGAACCTCCAATAAATTTCTCATCAACGAAAACTTTACTTTGATTAACTAAATAAATTAATATTGAAAATTCTTTTTTCTGAGTTAAAATAATTATATGGATTAAATAAAAATTGAAAAAATCAGATTTTCTCCTTTGATATTTTAGAGTGGGGTACCATAAAAATTTCAAAATCGTTTGAGTTATATTTGATGAGTTATGAAGTGGAGAGCCTTAGGGGCAAAATGATAATTTTGGATTTTGACACCCTAATTGAAATTTAGGATTAACTAAAGGGTAAATGAGTAATTTTGATCATAGTGAACTCTTTTGGATGTTTGAAATATAATGAGTTAAGCAACAGAAACCAACTTGTCACATTTTCATGGTAAGGGTAAAATTGTAATTTTATAAAGTATTATGCCTTAGAAGTCAATTTAATTAGATGATACTAAGGTAGTGGGCTTAAGTTAGGAAGATAATAATTCACTTATTTGAAGCCCCTAATTAGTGATTAGATGAATTAGATGATAGCATGATCTTTAGCATGATCTTTTAATGAGAATAGATCTTACTTAAATTAACATTTTAATTGTTACAAATTTACCCATGAAATCTTAATGGGCTTGTAGTGAGCTATGCTTAATCCAAGATTGTTTAATGAGGTTTAGAAAAGATAACATAACTAACTATGAACATTTTGAAAACACTACAAGCTCGACTTCAGTCTGGGATATAAAATCCTTAATGACTTTGAGTTTGTCTCTCGAGGAATTCACTCACATAACTTTTAAGTAGAACATTAAGTGATTGTCTGATTACCCCACTCTTGGGATAGTTAAAGTATCAAGGTACGCTAAGCATAGGGTGTATTAATTTATTGAAACTAAAATCTAAATTTGGACGGTTAATTGAACAATATAATAAGATCAAATGAACTCGAAATTTTTCAAAGGATTTTAAAAGTTGTTCAGCTATGCCCCGAACACTTTAGAATCCTTTGGATACTTTGAAAGATAATTGAATTTATTATTCTTTGTTCAAGAAAATCATCCATTAAAACCTTTAAGAATTCACCAAGTTAGGACTTAGGATTTTACAAATCAAACTAAATAATCAATTGAATAAATTTTAAACTAGTATCTAACTAATTAATACCGCATAAATGAAATAATATATATGTTTCAAGTAACTATTCTTACAATTAAAAAACATAAAAAATATTAACAAACTAGTTTATTTAAATAAAAAACTAAGAAGAAATTGCATTAGATTTATATGCAAATTGATAATAAATTAAAGTTTATTATTATTAAATATTAAATAAAATATATTTTGATTAATTAATTTTATTTAAATAACATATAACATTTAATAAATGAGTACTTCTATGTTCAAATTTAGTTCATTTAATCTTAGAATTTTAAAAAATAAGTTCAAACCTATGTGTTCACTAATCTGAAGGACAACGAACCGAGTTAGGGTGAATCATTTCGAGCCCTAGTAACTAGCATATTCACAATTATAAATAACTAAACAACTCATTGTTTAAGAAAAACAACATAAACAAATCACAAGGAAATACATTTATTGGATTACAACCCAAAGAAGATCTTCTAGATAGCACATCCTACTCCTCAAAAAGCCAAGAAAAATCTCACTTGGACAATTTATCATAAGCCAAGTCCTTCAACTTCCCCACAAACTCCCCTAAGAACCTCTCTTGCGCCTCGCCATTCATGAAAAAGCTTCTCCATTTATCAAACCTCTCCCTCCCCTCCTCCCCCTTCTCCTCCATTACCCTAACCACCGCATCCCTCACCGCCTCCTTCCTGAAACCGCCGTCTTCTTCCCTCTCCACCTCCACCCCTACTCCCAAATCCCCTGCGAACAGTCTCGCATTCAAGTACTGATCTCCCCTCTGCGGCAACATCACCACCCTGCATCCCCCCACCACCGCCTCCACCAATGAGCTCATCCCCGCGTGGCACACGAAGCATCCCACGTTCCTGTGCCCGAGTATCAGCTGCTGCGGGGCCCACCCTTCCCTCACCAACCTCTCGCCGCCGCCGCCTCCGCCTCCGCCTCCGCCGAAGATTCCCCGGCCGGCGGGGCCCTGCTTCAATACCGCCAAAAATGGTTTTCGGGCCATCTCCAGCCCGAGGAGAAGCTCCTTCACCCCATCCTCGCTAAGCGCCGTCTCGCTGCCGAAGGAGCAGAAGACAACCGAGCCGCCGGAAAACCGGTCGAGGAAATCGGTCCACTCGGGGCCGAGCGAACCGCCGGGGGATTCGGGAACGACCGGGCCGGCGAGGAGGATGGGTTTGGAGAGCTGTGATTCGATGTAATGGATGTAGGGGGATTCCATTTCCATGTTGAGAAAAAGGGCTGACCAGCCGGTGAGGCCGGCGAGCACGCGATCGTAGACGGAGAGCTCGCCGGCCTCACCGAAGCTCCGGAATATGTAGGAGAAGTCGGCGGCTTGGTACGCAGGTACGCCGGCTGACAGGGCGGTGGAGGTGGGGAAGCCGGTCGGCGGGTGGGCTAGCTCCTCCTACAACAATTTTGAGTTAATCACTGTTGCAGAAATGAAAAAATAAAAAAAAGTTCTGATTTTTGGGCAATACGGCATTGCGGCGGGCAGGGACGGTGAGGTAGGCGGTGGCGGCGGCCGAGAAAACAGAGAAAAACAGAGTCTTGATGCCGAGGGGGTGGGCGATGGAGGGGATCCACGGCTGGGCGAAGTCGAAGAAGAGGAGTTGGGGACGGAGGTCGGCAAGGAGAGCGGCGACTTGGGGCTGCATGTTGTCGACGGCGAGCTTGAGGAGTTCGGCGGTGTGGGGAGGGAGGTCGGCGGTGCGCATTTCGGCGGCGGAGGAGGAGGAGAGCTTGCGGGAAAGTTGGAGGAATGGGCTGATGTGGCCGAAAGCGACGAAAGGAAACATTAGGATGTGGAGGGGGCGAGCGGCGGTGGAGTTATCGATGTTGGCCATTGGGAAGAGAGAGAGAGATTAGGGTTTGAATGATGGTGGCTGGATGGTAAAGGAGACGAACTGATTGGGGTGAGGTGGACAAGGAAACGGCAGCTTTTGTAGGTGCTGGCTGCATGACTTTATCTGGCATTTTTTATTGTTCATGTGATTTTTATTTTCTTACATATGTAACGGTTTCTATGCTTTCACTTTTTAAAAGTTTAAATGTCATAACTAATTTTTTTGTTTAACACGAATAACGAGGCTTTTGGTTACTTCACATTAAATCTCAAGACATTTTTTAGCAAGAAATATTTTGATTTAAATTAAGAGTTATTCAGAACTTCAATTTCAGCAAAACTACAGTCAAACTAATCGAGTCGACAAAACGAACCTATTGATACCAAAATTAGTTCGTCCAATCATCTCCAGTTCAAATCAATTAATCACATTTAGAGACTTTGGATAATTAGTTGGAGGGTCGAGCGAACTCTAAATTTGATGTCCTATATACGAATCGAGCATCGTGGTGAAAGGAAGCCAACGAGCCAAAAATCACTCGATTCTGAGGTCATTAAAACTCTTTGATCATCAAACAACTTTTTTATGATAAAAAAGAATTAATGTGAATAATTTTCATCAAATAACAAAAATTTCCCTTCTTTGGAGCATATAAAAAGACCCTCTCTCTTCACTTGAGGGAACGAAGAGTCAAAATTATAGTGATATTTCAGATTAAAGCCTCGACGAAAACTTTCGGCCTCTGTGGCTGCCAACTAACATCGACCACTACCCGTCGACTGATGGGCCGCCCTTTGTTTGTTGTCATTGATAAATTCTATTATGTAACGAAGCATCTTGAATACTATTCAACAACATAGTATCCCAAATACATGATAAAAAAGAAATAATGAATACTATGCAGTGAAGTATCCCGAATACGAGTCCCGAAGCATATGATATATAAGGCAATAAAGTATCTCATAAAAATAAAAATTTATCTATTAAAAAGTGATAATTAACATTACATTTTGATGTGATGTGATGCCAATATGCATGTAAATATAAGTTTTAGCGTGCTGTCACGGACAAATAGTCCCACATTGGCTAGGTGTAGGGCCGAAAAGCAGTATTTAAGTCCTGGGCTGCCCACCACCCATAAGGGCTCTTTTGGGAGGTGACAAGTGGTATCA